ACGCCTCCGCCTGTTGCAGGTTCATCTCGAGTTGACAAGGGAAAGGCTCGGGCGAGGACTCCTCCTACTACTCGTAGTTCTGCCAAGCGTACTGCCTTTAAGCCACCGGTGGTCAAGCAGAAGGAAACTTCTGTTCAACCCAAGCGTCGCGGTCGCCCTCGTAAGAAGTGTAAGCTTTTTCTCTTTCTCAATTTGCTTTTTAACTTTATAATTCGGGTTTTTTCCAGCTCCCGTTATTTTCCAAGAGCCCATCGTGTTCGACAAGAAGCGATTTAGTAAGTCGTTCTTTTTACTAGTATTTTGGTTACCCTTCTGACTTTCTTTTTAGAACGTGCCACCGCTAGATTTGGGCTTAAAGAGCTCCCCGCGGTTCTTAAGGGTACACAAATCCATGTATGTCTCCTCCTCTCATTTTTGTCTGAGTTTTCATAGGTACTGATACCTGTTTTATTAGATGCCCGAACCTTGCCTTCAGTGCTCCGCGCGCAAGGATTCCGCTGTCAAGAACTGCACCTTTCGTGGGTGGGGAACTCCCTGCGGTCCTTGCGACGCGGCGCATGTTTCTTCGTGTGAGTACTATCTGAATGATGAACGCCGAGGGGCCGTCAGGGATGTCATCCGTAACCGGTTGGCTATTCATGCGCCTTCAGGTATGATTTTTATTTTTATTTTATAGTCTTTTTAATGACTTTTCACTTATTTTTCTAGCTATATCTGCGCTGATGGAGTCCATCGAAGAAGACACGCTTCATATGTGCACCCTATCCGCAGTCCTTGAGGCCATTCGCCATCGTCGCGACGCCAATCTTCGAGAGTTCGCAAACGCCATCGCGGACCTGTGTCTCACCGCCGAGCCTGGAACTCTTCTAGGCACTGTTTTCGAGACTCGCGAGGAGTTCGGCTCGTGGTACAGCTTCGTTCAAGACTTTGTAGATACTCAGGGGGTCCCAGTGCCTGCGGGTTCAACGACGGCCGATTTGGAGAGACTCGTCTCACTTTTTCAGCGAGACGATTCTCCTCCCATTGCTGGGCCTTCATCTCTGACACCTCGTCAACGCCGCGTCCGCTCGCTGTCCCTTATTCCTTCTATCGCCGTTGCTTCGCCTGGTCTTCCACCTTCCGCCCATTCTCAGGAGGAGGAGGAGGAGGTTATCGACGAGCTTGTTGACGAGGAGTAGGTGCGCTTGTTTTTACGGACTCTTTTACTTGGCATGCATTCGGACATCTTAGTTTTTGGACTTTCTATATCAACCTTTTTGTGTCATTATCTTTTGTAGTTAGATTCTGCTGTCCTTATAGTAGAATCTTGACTTTGTCTTTCTTGAACTTTGAGATTTGTTCCTAAGTGAGAGCCTTTTTGCATGCTTTCTAGAGTGTGAAC